ATCTATATAAAAATGATTACTTAATTTTATTATATATATTCCGAAAAAAAATAGCGATTAAATAATTTGCATATTGTTTATAAGGAGTTTTGGAATCCGATGATAAATTTTAAGAATCGTTGCGTAAGGCTCGATTCCTCGAGTTATGGTTTTCTCCTAACAGAAAATTATATAAATATCGATGAATAAATCGAACAAATGAAGTATTAGAGATTAAACATGTAAAAATTATGAAAAATGATTGCATATGCATTTAACGTATATTATTTAACGTATTTATTATGATAATACTGACTAACATTATTTACACGAATGAGATAGAAATTTAGCTTTGAACGATGTTGCATAATACTTGTCAATTTATTACAATATTTCTTCGTTGAGTTCAATTTCTGAGTTCAATTTTCTTTTCGAAAATATACTTTATTATCATTTACCACTTGAAGAAAATTCATGAAAATTTTTTGACCGAATATTAATCAATATTAATCAGTTTATAAATTCTTGAGTAATAAAATCACGTATAGATCTGGTTTTTTATTCTAAAATTTCTAAAAATCTTTTTTCAAAAAAAAAAAAAAAAAGATTTTGCATATATTAAATATTAATATGCAGGTTTTTGAAGAAACATCATTAACTTGATAGATATATAATGTGCAATGAGTCACGTGCGATAAATTTAATAAAAATATTTTAATTTATAGTACTTGCAAGATTTCAAGCAGAAGAAGGCAAAAATTATCATCGCTGATGTATACGATCAAGCAGCCCGGCAAGTGATGTGCAACGCGTACAAATTAGAAATGACAGCGGTTCAGGTAATTTTTATCATAGAATATCATAGATGAAGTTGAGAAAAATTCAACTCGATAGTTTATAAAATTCTAATTCATTTATTTTTTTTTTATATAAAATGTATATTACTTGTATCGCTAGTCTTTGAAATTAGAGATAAGAGTCTCACAGTATTAGTTCTATAGAAAAAGTTTGAAGTTTAGTCTAATAGACTATCTCCTTTTTTATCCATTTTATCCAAGACTTAATAAGCACGTGATTGTGCAATAAAAAGATGGTAAAGAATAGCGATAAAGTTTCATTAAAGTCATTCGATGTGAAAAAAATTAATATAGAAAGTGTCGTAATCAATATAGTCATTCATGGATTCATTCTTTAAACGTTTCAATTTATAAACGACTATACTTGTTTATTACTCGTCGTGTTATTTTATTTTCCACAAAGTTTTTCCACACTTTTTTTCGATCGATTTGTCTACGATCGTGTTAATAAAATAATTCCACGAATTTTTCGCGATTGAAGGGTTACGTGTGGTTCTTACCTCTTTGGCTTCGACCAGAATGGTACGATACGGATCGATACAATCAGAAAGGAGAACAGGTTCCATGTACCACGGCAGAAATGAGTAAAGCGATAAACGGATATCTCGCTTTATCTCACGCGTACTTTGCACCGGATAACGACATCATGCAAGAAGGGATAACGGTGCGTCAATGGCGCGATCGTTACGAGCTTCATTGCCAGAAGAAGAAGCAACCACCGTCTAATTACGCTGGTTACGCGTATGACGCTATGTGGACTTACGCCTATGCGATGGACAGGCTGTTTCGTGAAAATCAGAGTTACGTTTTCGATCTGCACAGCAATCATACCATTAATCGATTAACGGACATCATCGGTGAAATGGATTTTTACGGGGTACATAATGAATAAAATTTTAATCGATCGTTCGATTCTGCAATGGTTTTCGACTCATCCAATGATATATTAACGTTTATCATTATTTATATCGTGCGAAAAATTATTAAAAAATTCATTACGCCTATTTTGGATTGCGTAGAATTAGACTTTCAAGAAAAAATTACACAATTTTAATATTTTGATTGATATAATGAATGAACGAAAATTAATATTATTTTATACCATTGCGGAGTTAACACGTATTTAATTTTTATATAGAAAAATTATAAATACGAATATAAAATGAAAAAATTAATAAATCCGTTTAGGTGTCTGGGAGAATAAAATTCTTTGGTGGTCCTTCGAGATATTCCGTTATCAATATCGTTCAGCATATTAATAACGAAACTCGATTGGTCGGTAATTTTTACCCTAACGTGTCAGAAAAACAGCACGAAGTGGCGGGTGGTAAATTGGATTTGAACGTCTCTTCTTTGGTCTGGCTATCGAAAACCATGCCAGACGATGGCTCCGAACCACCCCAACGATGTGTCATCGGTGGATTTGCAGATTTCATGAACGTGTCTTGCGAAGTAGCTTTCGTGATCGTCAATATCTTTGGTTTTAGTTTACTGGGGATATTTTTGATCATTGGCTTCATCATCATGAAACGAAGGTGAACGATCGAACGAAATTATTATTTAATTTTCACTATTAAATATCCCTAATTATAACTAATAATTCAATCGAACATTCATTAAATGTTTCAAATGTTTTATAATATCTCTTTTTCTATCAGATACGAAAGAAAAGTACGCGAACAGAGAGAGTATTTGAAGTCTATGGGTATATCCTATGCTTGTGACGACTCGTCTGATCTGGACAAATGGGAGATACCCCGACACAGGGTGGTTATTAACCGAAAATTAGGGGAGGGTGCTTTTGGAACGGTTTACGGTGGTGAGGCGTTCTTCCCTGAAAAGGGTTGGCTAGCCGTGGCCGTGAAAACTCTGAAAATCGGAAGTTCCACCGAGGAAAAATTAGACTTTCTAAGCGAGGTGGAAGTGATGAAACAATTCGAGCACAAGAATATAATCAAACTGTTAGGCGTGTGTATCAAGAGTGAACCAGTCTTAACTGTGATGGAATTCATGCTTTATGGCGATCTGAAGACGTACCTTCTCGCCAGAAGACATCTCGTGAACGACAATAGTTACGAAGATTCGGATGAGATTTCTAATAGAAAGTTAACCGCAATGGCGTTAGATGTAGCTAGGGCGCTCAGCTATTTGGCTCAGTCAAAATATGTTCATAGGTAAGTCAAATAAATTCGACTCGTTTGTTTCAATTTGCTTCACCGTTAAATTCACTTTTTCAGGGATATTGCCTCGCGTAATTGTCTGGTGAACGCGCAACGTGTAGTGAAGCTTGGAGATTTTGGTATGACGAGGTTGATGTACGAGAACGATTACTACAAGTTCAATCGAAGAGGTATGATGACACGACTTTAACAAAATTTATATATTTGTTTTTTTTTTTTTTTTTTGGTTGATAAATAAAATAATTTTCT